ACATAGCACAGTATTTGGAAAAGAAGCAACATTTAATATTTGTTAGGTGAAAAAATGAGGAAATATGAGTATAGGAAAGAAATGGAACCCATTTCAGGTTCAAGCCAAGCCATTGTCAGAGTTCCTCTAAAATGCAACTCAGAAAAATAGAGTGGAACCCCAGCCAATTGGGACTGGATGGGGAGGGAGAGGGTGAAATGGAAGCAGCCCCCAGCCAAGTGGCTGAAGATTCCACATGGCACTCCCACATTGCTGAGCTGGATGGGGAAGCCCTGGGTATAGAACAGAGGTGGGAAAGCATAAATCATGCCCTTGGACCTGCTTCCCTAGATCTAGATTCTGCTGAAATTGAAGGGGCTTCAGCTCCCCTCTGATTCTCACTAGCGGAGTGCCAGGCAGAATAGCCTGCATGTGCTTTAGGAGCCACAAGAGCAAGGCCTTAGGTAGCATGACAGATGGAGGGCCATGTCTTGAAATGGAGCAGGTGTACCTCTCCACTGAGATAGTAAGGAAAGAATATGGACAAAAATAGAACGATTTAGAGAAGATGAAGGAGAGGAGATAGAGAAACATTTTGAGGTAGAGGAAAAGAAAGATGAAACAACCTGTTGGCGCCTAAGCTACAGCCCCTCTTCCTTATTTTTCCGGCTAAATTTGATGATGTTTGGATTATATCCTTCCATGTGCTCACAAAAGATGATTTCTCTCCCTAGCATGAGGAGTTGATTATGATTGGTGTCGTTCCTTTTACAAATAATCAGTTTAGGATGGGTGTGTGACACAATTCTGCCCAATGATACTCAGTTTTGATAGAGGCCTCTAGAAAGGGTATTTATTTATTTATTTATTTATTTATTTATTTATTTATTTATTTATTTATTTATTTAGTGAGACAGGGTCTCACTGTGTTGCCCAGGCTAGAGTTAGAGTGTAGTGGCATCATCGTAGCTCACTACAACCTCAAACTCCTGGGTTCAAGCGATCCTTCTGCCTTGGCCTCCTGAGCAGCTAGGACTACAGGCACATGCCACCACACCAGGGTAATTTTTCTATTTTATTGTTGAGATGGGGCCTTGCTTGTGTTCAGGCTGGTCTCAAACTCCTGGCCTCAAATGATCTTCCTGCCTCAGCCTCCCAAAGTGCTAGGATTACAGTTGTGAGCCATAGTACCCAGTTCTCCTTCCTTTATTATGAGACTGTGTATGTATGTGCGTGTGTGTGTGTGTGTGTGTGTGTGTGAGAGAGAGAGAGAGAGAGACAGAGACAGAGACAGAGACAGAGACAGAGAAGGAGAGGGGTGGGAGATAGCATCCCTCTACTTTGCTGGGATGCCTTGGACCACATTTGACAGCAAGACAAGCTGAAGCCATGGATCAGGTATGAAGGAGGATGACAGGAGAGATTACTATCACTTGAGGATGGCAGAGCAAAAAGAAATCCACGCAGGTCCTGGACAACTTCCTTGACTTACTTAATTAACCAATACTGGAACCATCTTCCTTCAAACTTTTTATTTTATGAGATAATAAACTCCTTATTTTTCAAAAGCCACTGTAATTAGGTTTTGTGTTGTTAGCACTTTTGTTGATACCTCGATCTTTTCTACCACAGTAGGAGGTGAGAGTGTGTGTTATGAATGTGAAATGTGGGGGTCAAAAAGTTTGAAACAGGTCAGACACAGTGGCTCACGCCTGTAATCCTACCACTCTGGGAGGCCAAATCGGGAGTATGGCTTGAACTCAGGAGTTGAAGACTGAACAAGAGTGAGACCCTGTCTCTACCAAAAATAGAAAAAAGTTATCTGGGCATGATGGCACATGTCTGTAGTCCCAGCTACTTAGGAGGCTGAGGCAGGAGGATCGCTTAAGCCCAGGAGTTTGAGGTTGCAGTGAGTTGTGATGACTCCACTGCACTCTACCCAGGGTGACAGAGACTCTGTCTTAAATAAATAAATAAATAAATAAATAAATAAATAAATAAATAAATAAATAAATAAAATAAAGAGACAATAGTGAATTAAAAAAACAAAGTTTGAGATGGATATTTCAGCTTTCACCCATAGCCTCCTTTCATCTTCTTTCCCTTCCCCTACTCCTGCTGGACTCAGACAAGATCCAGGAGACACAGGACTGGACCCAAAAGGACCTCTCCCTTCCAGAGACTTAGTTTTGTTCATGGCTCAAGTTCATTGTGTTTGCCTCCTTCATTCCTGAGGACTTGTTCCCAGGAGGCTCCTCAGTCATTCCAGCAAACAAGCTTCTGGGGCCTTTGTGCCCATCAGTTCCACAGACATACCTACACCCGTCTGAACCCAGAGCCACAGTTTAGGCTTAAGTAGGGAGCCCCAACCACAGTACGATTCTGTACCTGTAATGTAGCCACGCTTTGTGACCCTTGAGCAGAAACAGAGAACGAAAATGGCCAGAACTTAGGAATGGGACCTGGCACAGGCATGGGACAAGGTTTGAGAATGCAGGAGCTAGCTGGCTTTACTAGATTGTAACTCTTAGGAAGACCACATAGCACCCAGCACAGAACTCTGCATGTTTAGGCTTAGCCTCAACACATGCATTGAATTTCATTGAAATGACCAGGTTGTAGGCAGGAGGTCAAATGGCTTGCTTTTACAGAATCTTCCCTTCAGAGAGAGCCTTTCAAGCGCACCACGCTCCCCCAAAGAACAAAGTCTTCAATATTTTCACCTCAGTTATGTACATTTATTTTTACAACACACTCTGAGATAGGAAGTGGTAAGAACAGTTTTGTTTAATTTGCCAGGAAGAAACAAGACACAAAGAGATGATCTGACTTGGCCACCATCCCAGAGGGCATCCGTGGCAGAGCTGGGATGGTCCCTCAATCCCCAAGGGCTCTCAAGCCTTTGTTCTGATGTCCCAGTATGTAATTGTTTTGATAGCAATTTCCCTGGTTCCCTCTCACTAGCCTGCTAATCACGCATGTCAATCACATTCAGGAACACCATGGGCCTCAGGGTCAGCCACAGTTTCAAGAGATCCCAATGCAACAGAGAAAACAAGGCAGGATATAGCATGTTCTCCTTCAAGCGTGATGTCAGTTGTGCCCTCAAAAGTCTGACAATGTGTCCAGAAGAGAGTGTCGCTCCCCCACCCCCACCTCCCAGCTGCAGAAAGCGAAGGCTGTATCAAGTACTCTGCCCGCAGCTTAACACAGGAGAGAAATCCACCAGCGTAAGATGCTCTCGCTGAAAGACACTCAAGAGTACTGAAAAGAGTTCACCCCATCTCTGAAGAACCAGGAGGGAAGTCCTGCACAGCTCCACTCCACAGCCCGTTAAGAAAGCCCGGACGGTGGCGGAGCATTCATGCAAAGACGCTAATTCCCCTTCTCCTGCAGAGCACGTGGTCGTCGCTCCCCACTTCACTTTCACTTTAGAGGGCAGCTTCAAGGGGCCCAGAGCGCGGCGTCCAGGCCTGCACCCTGACGGGCCCGGGAAGAGAGTGGCGCGTGCGGCCCGGCGCGGGCCGGCGTGCGGTGCGGCGTGCGGAGTGCGCGTGCGCGCGGCCCTCGAGCTCCGCCCGGGAGCCCATTGGCCGCGGCGCGCGGCGGGGGAAGCCCTTGGCTAATCTCCTGCCACTCAGCGGGGCCGACGTCGGCGCCGGGTCGGCCGCGCGCGGAAGGACAAATAGTCCCGGCGGCGGAGCGCGCGCCCCCGCCCGGGCTGCTCGGCCCGAGGCCCCGGCGGCGGGAAGTGGGGGCGTGCGGCGCGGCTCCCCGACCCCAGCTCCTCTCTCGGCAGCCACTCGGGTGGATTGCGCTCCCCAGGGAAAAGTAACTGGATTCCGAGCTCCCTGCAGCCGGGAACCGCGGAAATCTGCAGCTGAGCCTGCAGCGTGGAAGGGGCGCGCGGGGAGGAGGGGAGAGGTCGGAAACGCCGCTCTCCCCTCAAACGTGTGCGTGCTCGTGTCTCTGCAGGCCGCAGTGGGAAACTGGGTGGCAGAGAAGGATTAACGGGGATTGCTGGTGCCCTTCTCCCCTCCTCCCACCCCCCCAGCCTGTGACTTTTGCCCCTTCCAAGTTGTAAGTTGTCATCTCCTTGTGAAATTCACCTGGTCGCTGATGCCGGAGAAGAAAAGACTTTGGAAGACTTGAGTCCTTCAGCCATCACTCTTCTGTTTTTCTCTCAAAGCTCTACTTGGACTTGGGGTGGAGGAAGAACCCAGTCAAATCTGGAACTGGAGATGTCTTTTTTTTTGACGAAGTAGCTCAGGAGAAAATAGCATTTTTACCAGGAAAATATTTCAAGTCCTTTCCTTGGCAATGGCAAACTTCCCCAAATTTCCTTTCCCCCGAGAAGATGGATCTAAAGTAGGAACCTCAAGCAGAATTTTTGGTTGAAGTGATAGGAATGTTCTAGGAATTTTAAGTGACTTTAACTCAGTCATCTTGTGATTTTTTTCATCTTATTTACTGCATTCCCCTGTATCATTCATCATTAAACAAGCTTTTATTGAGGGCTTTGTAGGTGTCAGTCTCTATTCTACTTATCTGGGATAATCAATGAATGAAACAAAGTAGCTGTCAAATCCCTTCCTCTGTCTCTTCTTCATGTCCTCTACCTAAGCCTTTGAACATTGCCAGCCAAGATTATTTCAGCGGTTTCTATATGGTCTTCCTTGTCTCTCTGCTCCAATCTAACCTATTGGAATAATTGTTCTAAATCTTCACTCTTAACACATCCCTTCGTTCTTTGAAAATTTTATGGCTAAATTTCCTATTTCATTAAATTTAAACTCCCCGATCAATTTCCAAGCTCTTGCCCCAATCTGGTTCCCCTCTACCATGTGACCCATTCCTCATTCTACCATTTTGGTTTTCGTTAGGTTTGTTCCACAAGTACATTTATGTTCATTTATTTCTGTGTGTATTTGTTTATGGATCTACCCTCACATCACTCCGTATTTGATTCAGTAGGGATCCATTGGTTATGAGTGACAAAATCCAACTCAAATTGGCTTAAACAGAGAAAGGAATTTATTGGCTCACATAATTGAAAAATTCAAGATAGTTTTATTAGACCTGGGGTTGGCAGAAGAGTTCAAATTATGTCAAATTCAGATTCTCCTCCATATGTTAGCTCTCTCCTCTGTTGTTTGCTTCATTCTCAAACTCCACAAGTAAGCAACCAGCAGCCCTAGACTCACGCCATCCTCACCACCAGTAAAGGTTAAGTGCCCATTCCTAAACCAATCATTGTTGCCAAAAGAATGAGATGCTCAGATTGGCCTGGAGTGATTTATGAACACATCCCAGGAGTTGTCTGTAAGTAACAAATGAATGGCACAAGAAGGTGATTTGACTTAGGAAAATAGGAGTATGGTTATCAGAAGAAGGATGGTTGTGTCCCAGGTAATGGAAACAGCAAACATACCATACATGCTTGTTCTTTTCTTGATGTCTCCACACACTCTTCCCCCCTACACATGCCTTCACCAATGTCAGTGGCTACACAATGCAACAATATTTTTTACCACTAAAAATGTACTCATATATAAGTACTACAAACAACTTCAACTCCAGAATAGCAACATGATATGCAAGCCTCCATCATGCAACAATATAGTTTTTCATGGTCTAGTAAAATCTGAGACCACATGATAAAATCAGCTATAAAACACTTAATATATAACAATAGAAAAAGAAAAAACTTCAGTGAAAACTCATATTTGGAAATATAAATAGAGTGGTCTCTCATTCATAGCATATATCATATCTTGCTAGACAGGAATAACAAGGACTTCCTAACATTAGAGGAGAGGAAGTTCTTTGGCCAACCAATCTGGCTGACATATGTTCTGTTCTTGGAGGATTTCTCATCCATTGTTCCTCCATGGCCACATCTGTAATGGACAATGCGGAGGATGATTCTCTAGGGACTATACCTCTTCAGCATTCTCCTTCTTGATAGACTAGGGATTAAAAAAAAAAAAACAAACATTTGCTATGGCAAAGGGAACTAGCTTTTACCACCAAATAGTTGTGATCCTCTTTTATTGTATAGAGTTGTTACTAGAAAGTAGCTGCCTGGCCAGGGACTACATTTCCCAGCCTCCCTGTTAATCCTGGTAAAGTCATGTGACTAATTATCTCCATGGGAATATGAGTGGAAGTGATGTGTATCACTTCTAGCCAATGTGGTTAAGAACCAGGCATGCCTTTGCCAGTCCCTTTTTCTCTCCTCTGGCTGTATTAAAAGGTCTCTAAGATCCTGGAGGATAGTAGAGCCACAATATGGAAGGAGTCTGGATAGTTGAATGCCTTTGTATTAAGTCCACCTGCTGATTAAGAGCATCTATGTTGGACTTTACAAAAGTGAAAAATAGGTATCTATTGTGTTAAGGCACTCGAACATTTAGCAGTTAGTGCTAAGGCTAAGTAACATAACCTTTGTTCTCCAGACTTAGAGTTTCTTTTACAATACAATTTTCTTTAATTCTAGTAAGCTTCTGGTCTATATGCATCTGGCCAATTCCATGGGGGAAATATTCCAAAGCCAGAGGAATTTTTAAGCTGCAGTCTCTGAATCTAGACTCCACTATGGGCATTTTTGTTTTTTAGTAATAGGTTTTGGCATTCTACTAGATTAATGACATCCATTTTGGTTTCTGTTTGAGAACAATTTGAAATAATATCAAAGTTGGTGGTAGTGATGGTGGTTGTGTGTACACTGGTGGTGGAGGGAGTAGAATGGGATAACTTACCTTTCTCAGCATGCAGGAATTGCTTGAGAGAGGGCTGAGAGTGTTCAGACTTTTCCTAAGTTCTAGTCTTATCCATTTGTTGCCTTCATTGACATTAACATTCTCTTGGGGCTTTTCCAACCATTTATGGCTCCAGATTATTGAAGTTTCTGTTATCTTTTATTTCAGCCTATAAGTAAAAGTGGCCATTCATAACAAAGTGATATCTTTTCCTCTCTGCCTTAAATAAATCAAACTCAGTCCTAAGTTTAAGTCTTTCTTACAGGATCTTACTAAAAGCTAACAAGTAATAGTTGGTGTTCTAGTAACTGGCATTTTAATAACAGATCCTTTAACAGTTTTCACTGGTAGGCACACATTCTGAATGCCACTATACAACAAATGCTAGTTGAATCTACTGCTTTGCTGTTGAATTCCCAGCTAAGTATAGATGGTGCCTCATCTGAATCAAGTGATTCAACATTTTTGGATCTTTCTCTTACTAATCCCCATTCCTGATATCAATTTATGAATTGTTAGAGCTATTTTAATTGCAGGTGACAAAATAAATAAAAAAACTCCACAACTCAAACTTATTTATGCAGAAAAAGAGAATATATTGGCTATTGGCTCACATAACTAAAAAACTAGTGATATAGTTTGCTTAAGGCATAGTTTGATCCAAGGGTTTAAGCTGTGCTGGCTTCATTTTCAGACTCCATATGGTGGCTCCTTGCAGCTCCAATTCACGTAATCCTTACTGTTAGCAATCTCAGTGGAAGTGTGCATACCTCTTTCCCACAGGTGTCAGCAGAAGTCTTCTTACATTTCACTGGCTTTGATTAGGACATATGGCCGGAGGAATCTAGTAGGTCAGGCCTTATTTTCATCATTACTTATGCAGTTGAAAGTGAAGTCCATCCATCTAAAAGACATTGAGAATAATAGAAGAGGAAAATCAGGGTGTGGTTATCAGAAGAAGGGTGAATGGATACTGAGCAGAAAAAACAGATTTCTCTCATTAGTTACCAATGTGTAGTATTTCCTAATTCCTTACATGTGTTGGGTTTTTCTCCTTCACTGGCTTAACCATAAGTGTCTCAGGAGCAGGATCATGTATTAAATGTCTTAACAGTGCCAACTTAGCAGCAGTCCTTAGGTCTTTTGTCTTGTATTACTAAAGATGGCACACTCAGAGAAGGTAAAGAAAGCTTAATAAAGGGTCAATCAATGTACAGAGGGATATGAAGGGTTAAGGGAACCAACAAGGAATGATAAAGTACTTAAAGAGTGGCAACCATGGAAGACCTTGAAGTTGTAGGAGCAGGGAAGGGGAGTTTTTAGTGGAACCCTGTAAGAGCTGAGGCTTCGAAGGGGATACCTGAGGAAGGCTGTGACTATAAATACAGAAATGCAGCTACTGCCAAAATATGACCCAGCAAAGGACTGGGGAATAAACACTTGTCCTCTTTTCCTCCCATCCTCCAAAATTCTGTTGGTACCTACCGTTGGCCAAAGCAAACCAGAAACCAGAGGGTGTGGGTTGTACAGTCTGTAGAGTTCAGCTTCTAATAAAAAGCAAGACAAATAGGGTGAAAAATGGATCTAAAGGAGCAAATGGAAAATTGCCAGGACACCCTTATTATATTCCTATTCCTTTAGCAACCCTAAATAAAAACAATGTCTAATCTGTGTTAACTATATAGCCTGGATTTATCTGTAAAATATAACTTTACCCTATTCAATAAATTTGTTAAATATATAACTAATGTGGTTGAATTTTAATAGCATTTTAAGACTTTAACACTCGAACTCATAAATCATAAAAAGTCTTTTGTTAGTGCATGTAGTTAAAAAGCTATCATCATTGTATTGATATGGAACTCCTCAAGAATATTGTACCTGGCAATCCATCAGAAAGGACTAGCACAGCACTTGTCAAAGAGTGACAAATTTGATAAATGTTTGATGATTTGAAGAATGATTAAATGAATAAATTAAAGCATTTCAAGCCAGAATACTTTAAGTGGAAAACTAGATGGGTTTTCCTTGTTAGAGATTGATGATAATTATACAACATCTACCAATCCTCTCTCTTGAAGTCTGACATTGGCTTCTTAGCTGTTGATCAAGGTCTTATCTCTTATACAAAAAAGAACTGCAATAAATTTTCTTTGTCAATCTTTAGAAGTAAGAAGTTCCATAATTAACTGTCATGCTAATAAATTCACTATAAAGTCCATTTCAGTTAAGGGACTATATTTTTATCCTAAAACTGGGTTTTGTCATGGAATTGTCAATCAGATATAAGAAAAATAAACATACTTGCTTCTGTATATAAACTGGTATTATAAAGTATCAGTCCAATCTGTTTCTCTAACAGATTTTATAGTTAAGCCAAAAATCCATACTTCTGTTCTTTGGCAATCCTGTGTACATAAGGCTTTAAACAGTTTACAAATCACCATTCATTTATTCATACAACAAATACTATTGAGTACATATTATGTGCCATACATAATCCCCACCCTCATGGAACTTACTGTCTAGAGCAGTACTGCTCAAACTTTAATGACAATATGAATCACCCGAGGATCTCGTGATAATGCAGATTCTAATTCACTATGTCTGGAATGGGCCCTAAGACTACATTTCTAATAAGCTGTTGGTCTAGGGACCACATTAGAGTAGCAAGAGTTTATTAGATTTATTTAATCCTCACAACCACCACCTCATAAGAATTAATATCAGTTTTTTTTTTCCCTTGGGTCTTCACTACATACAAAACAATACTATGCATTGTACATAAACAGTTCCATTAGATATAGGCCTTCTGGAAACTCACTATACAGATGTTCCTCTACTTGCGATGAGGTTATGTCTCATCAAACCCACTGTAAATTGAAAATACCATAAGTCAATTAGATACATTTAATACCCCGAACCTACTGAACATCTTAGCTTAGCCTAGCCTGCCTTAAACATGTTCAGAACACTTACATTAGCCTAAAGTTGGGCAGAATAATCTAACAAAAAGTCTATTCTATAATGAAGTATTAAATATCTCGTGTAATTTACTGCATACTGTACTTAAAGTGAAAAACAGAATGGTTGTATAGATACTCAAAAGTATGGTTTCTACTGAATGCCTATCACATCCACACAATCAGAAAGTCAAAAAATCGTTAAGTGGAAACATCCTAACTTGGAGACTGTATGTATAGCAGGAGGCTAGTGTAACACATAGTTATGATTGTATGATTCTGTTTACATGAAATTTCCAGAAAAGGCAAATCTATAGAGACAGAAAGTAGATTGGTGTTTGCCTGGGCCATGGGTGGGAATAGTGATTAACTGTAAATGATCATGAAGGATCTAATTGGGGTGGTGAAAATGTTTTAAAACTGGATTATGATAATGCCTCTCCACAATTCAATAAATTCACTAAAAGTCATTGAATTATACGCTTGAAGTGGGTGAATTTTATAATATGTAAATTATACTCCAATAAAGTTGAAAAAACAAATAATTATGATGTAAGTGAACAAATGTAATAATAGAAACATGTAATCTTAACTCCTTTTCACAGCCAACTAAATGGAGCTCATAAAGGCTAAGTAATTTACCCAAAGTCACATAACTAGTTAGTGCCAGGGCTAGGCATATAAATCTAGTCCTATTAAGCCAAGAGCAGTTATTATTGTCAGAAACCTCATTGCCAGAGGAGGCATAGAGATGTATGCCAGGGAATGGATACCCTTCCACCAAAAGGGGATTTACTTCTCTCTCTGAATCCTCACCCTGTGAAGCAGAGTTCATGCTTAGTGGTGACCTAGGTGGCATCCCATAAATGTACTGCCAGCTGACTGTGCAAGCCAGCTATCTTCTGGCAGACCCTTTGTCTTCATTGGGGTTTTTAGTTTCAAGTAACAAAAATCAATCCTGTCTGATTTAGTAGCAAAGAAATTGGGCAGCTTACAGAATCATTATGAGGGTGAAGAACCAAGCTCAGAGTGGTGCAGCCAAGAACAATGCCCAAAATCATGCTGCAGAGGCAGCCCAGAGAGAAGACTGCTATTAACTGATGCAGCTGAGTATGCAGGACTCTGCCCCTTTCTCTCCCACTGCCTCTGCTTTGGGAACTCAATTTGGCCACAACTGCACTGTTGCAAGAGAAAGAACTGACTGCTACTTTATGCTTCTTTGTGTTACTAGTTCCTGACTCAGAGCCATGCAGGTGCTCCTTATTAGCAGTAGGTCATGCAGCCAAATCTAGGCTACACGGGAGGATGGTAAAGCGAGTATTTGACAACTTCTATCAGTTTCCAGATAATGTGATTTCAGGGTTTACTTTCTTCCAAGACTCACATATCAGTGAATTCTTCATGCGCCAAGAGTTCAGATGCTGGGCAGGCAAAAAACAAAAACAAAAATAAAAAAATCTCCCCCCGCCCCCCCTAAAGCAGCTTGCACAAATGGTGGTCCATGAAGCAGCAGCATCAATATCAACTGGAAGCTTGTTAGAAATACAGAATCTCCAGTTCTGTTCCAGAAATGCAGAATCAGGATCTGCTTTCTAACAAGAAGCCAGATCATTCATATGTATGTTAAAATTAGAGAAGTGTTGCTCTATATTATATAACATGTAGTTCTTCTTAATTTTCAAAGATCAGTCACCAATATGCTCTACTCATCCATAGGGTTGCTAGATTTAATGCAAGACACTCAGTTAAATTTGAATTTTAGGTAAACAACAAATAATTTTTAGAATATGTATGTTCCATGTAATATTTGAGGCATACTTATACCAAAAAATTATTCCTTGTTTATCTGAAATTCAAATTTAACTGGGAATCCTGTATTTTATCTGGTAACCATAATCATCCACACAATCTTACCCTCACAATTAACAAAAATAAATAAATAAATAAATAAGCCTGTAATCCCAGCACTTTGGGAGGCTAAGGTAGGAGGCTCACTCAGGACTAGCCTGGGCAACATAGTGAGATACCATCTCTACAAAAAATGACAATAAAAAATTAGCCAGGCATGGTGGTACATACCTGTAGTCTCAGCTACTCAGGAGGCTGAGGGAGGAGGATTGCTTCAGTTCAGGATTTTGAGGTTAAAGTGAGTTATGATTGTGCCACTGCAATGTAGCCTGGGCAACAGAGTGAGATCCTGTCTCTGAAAAAAAAAAAGGGGAAAATTAACATAACTGTCTACAGGAATGCATTTGTATCACTTTCCTATGGCATGGTAGACTATAAGTATCATGAGAGAAGAACATGGAAACAGTACAGTATCAAGCCCACTCTGAGTTCTGTTTAAGCATATTAAGGTTCCCTATAATTTTTTTATTTTTTATTTGGACAGTTATCACAGAGAGGTTCCCCTATGATTTGAGGGGTAAATATTACCTGTTCTGTTGGGTAAGAGTTATTTTTAAAATATGATTTGCAACTAACTTTACTTAATGAGTTTTGACCAATAACACCTTTATCCAACAGAACCTGACCATATAAACTGACTAAATAAAGGAAATATGTGATGACTGGTTATAGCATTGCTGGGTTACTTCTTTATTTTTTTATTTTTATTTATTTATTTATTTATTTATTTTCTTCGTCTGAGTCACAACAGGAATGCTGGGTTACTTCTAAAGACTGCTATTATAACTTCATTTTCTTCCTAAAGAAAAAGGGTTGCTGCCTAGGAGTTTTAGAAAAACAGCTTTCAAACATTCTGAGAAAGAGGTAGATTGTCTGACACATCAATTAGAATTAGAAGCATCACATTCAAAAATTAAAGAAAACTTTTAGTACTACAAAATGCATACCAATTACATTTATTTGGAAGATGTCTTAATTCACTTTATAATTTAGCCAATTATTTCTAACTCAGCCAAATAGGGAATTTGGGGTGATTAGGAGAGAGTGACTTTCTTTTTATAACCTTTCGTGTAGTTATCAGTGAGCCACCTCCAATACAGTTTACCAAAAAAATCTGCCATTTATCATACTCCCATCAAGGCTTATCTTATCCTCTTGGCTGGTAATGAAACGTCCAGAGACTATGAGAGGAATTGCAGTTCCAAGAAGCAGAATATCTATAGGGGCTGATGAGTGTTAGAGATTAAACATATATATGTCTCCCCTCCCAACTCTCCCCCAGAGGTTTTTTTTTTTTTTTTTTTTTTTTTTTGAGACAGAGTCTCACTCTGTTGCCTGAGAGCGAGTGCCGTGGCGTCAGCCTAGCTCACAGCAACCTCAAACTCCTGGGCTCGAGTGATCCTTCTGCCTCAGCCTTCTGGGTAGCTGGGACTACAGGCATGCGCCACCATGCCCAGCTAATTTTTTTATATATATATATCAGTTGGCCAATTAATTTCTTTCTATTTATAGTAGAGACGGGGTCTCGCTCTTGCTCAGGCTGGTTTTGAACTCCTGACCTTGAGCAATCCGCCCGCCTCGGCCTCCCAAGAGCTAGGATTACAGGCGTGAGCCACAGCGCCCGGCCTAGAGGTTTTTTATCATGTTTGCTACCACCTTTTAATTCATTGTTTGCAATCTCCACCTGAGAGGAAGGTATCTGTGATAGATGAATGATGTACCCTCATTTATGGGCCAGGCCATAAATGGACCAATTGACTAGCCTTTCTTTAAACATTAAATAATAGAGAAAACATTTATAAGTACATCATCAGTCACTTATACATGCTATTTCTATAAAATAGCTCAGTACAGTTATGCGTTGCTTAACAATGCTGTAAGCTCTGAGAAATGCATTGTTAGGTGATTTCATCATTATGCAAACATCATAGAGTATACTTACACAAACCTAGATGGTATAGCCTATTACACACCTAGGCTATATGGTACCGCCTATTACTCCTCGTATACAAACCTGTACAGTATGTTACTGTACTGAAAACTATAGGTAATTGTAACACAATGGTAAATGTTTGTGTATCTGAACATATCTAAGCATAGAAAAGGTAATGTCTTGCATTACGATGTTATGAAAGCTATGACATCACTATGTGATAGAAAATTTTCAGCTCCATTATAATCTTATGGAACCACCATCATGTATGTGAATCATTGTTGACCAAAATGTTGTTATGTGGTGCATGACTGTATTTATAATAAATGGAAAATGGTTAGAAACTATATAAAGCCTCTATCCTCCCCCCCCAACAGTGGACTGGTTAAATAAATAATGGTATAGGCATAAGATGCAGCCATGAAAAATAACCTTTTCTGAGGCTACTTGGAGAAATGACTGGTTCTAGTGCTGGGGCAGGAAATTACAAGATAATCCTGGAACATCTTTTCACACCAGAAGCTAAGTATCAAAGACTTCTGGATCATGTAAAAAGGGACTCAGGAACCTACTTGAAAATGCTCCCATTGATCAAAAAGGGGTAGGGACAGTTCGAGCATGAATTAGGATAACTGTTATGGATTGATGCATAGTAAATATGTTTCAGTCTATTAGCTAAGATTGATACTCTAAAACAAACAAACAAACAAAAACCTCTATTGGTACCTTTGGAAAATGGAAGGAAATAAACTTATTTTGAAAACTGGTAAGTAAAGAGAATGAATCAAGCATCTAGTTCATTTCTCATATATAATTTGTACCTCAGGGTAACCTAATAGCTGATGAGAGGAGGTTTCTCTTTACAGAATATTCCAACTAATAATTGATGGAGAAACAATAAGAGTATCATCATATTGTAACCCCTAATGAAATAATGCAGCTAGGGAATGATCATTAATGAGGCTAACTTTACAAAAAGATTAATAAGCAGACATTATATTTCTCCTATTTATAACATCACATATAAAAACTCTTGCCAAAAAATTAACTAGGATTTGGTCAAGGCTTTTTATTTAAACAGTAAGAAAACACCAGGGATAAAGAAACATATTAAATAACACTATGGGAATTACAATTAGAAAATCCACATTATGAAAAATGCTACGGGACAAACCACCCAGTTTTGCTTCAACAAATCAATTAAAAGAGGACACAGAAGCAATAGGTTGACAGACTTAAAACACGTACCAAACAATGAAATGTGTGGACTTTATTTGAATTTAAATTAGAACAAATCAACTGTAATAAGAAAACATTCATGAGACAAATGGGAGAAATTTGAACACTGGCTGAATATTTGATGATATTAAAGCATTTTTATAAAAACTGTAAGATGTGGTAATGATATTGTCATGATATCTTTTAGGAGTATCCTTATCTTTTAAATATAAATGAGGAAATACTTGTGAATGAAATGATTTGATGTTTACTTCAAATTAATCTGGATGTGTGAATACATGAATAATTGTTGAAGCTGGGTAGAAGTTCAAAGGCATTCATTATACTATTCTTTCTAATTTTGTATGTGTTTGAAATTTTTCATAAAAAATTGGGTTATAAAACTATATTGAGAGTATGCTTTCAATTTTAAGTTTGTAATATATTATATATATATACATATACACACACACACATGCACATACATATACAAAGTATTAGAAAAAAGAGGAAATATACCAAAAAAATCTTTAGTGGTTATCTCTTTTTGATGGGATTAGAAATGACATATAGATTCTTTTTTATTCTTTTCTATATTTTTTATCTAGAGAAAATAGATTTTAAGAGGCACAAGGCCCAGTTATTTTCAACTCTTCAAATTAACAGTGACACATAATGAACACAAGAGAAATATTCTCTAAACTTCTAAAAGTTGTTTTTATGTGGTGGATCTATATGAGATTTTATTTCACTTTTTTATATTTCTGCATTTTTCAATTTTAATATAAAGGTATATCACTTTTTGGATTAAAATCAAATGAACATCAAATTAAAAAGAACAGTAAATTTATCAAGCACAAAGTTACTTAAAATTTAGGGCAAGATTTTTAAAAATATAGGTATGAGAAACATTACTAAGGGTCTAGAGAAGGGCTGGCAAAAGAAACCAGGAGTGGGAAAAAACAAAGTGTAAATTTCAGGGGTGTTTCAGAGAATGTCATAGATTGAAATAGAGAAACTAAATTCACTATCAAATGTAAGGAAATGTAATTTCAGAAAAAGATCATGCTTTCGTGATTTCACAGTCTACTTTTTTTTTTGTATAACATTGATATTAGCCTTTTCTAATTTTAGGAAAAATTTTATAAATCATTAAAAAATACTGTGGAATTTAAAAAATACCACAAATTTTAAAATTCTCTGGATTTACCATAATTTGTTATCAATTCCTCTTCACTCAATATATATTTTCATCTCATAAATAAAATGTTTTTCTCTACAAATAAAACCTTTCCCCCTACTTTGCTGAAAGTAGAAAATTTTTGTAAATGGAATTACTAGGTCAGAAGTA